AAAGCATATTGCGCAGTGTGTGTGAGGGTGCTCTGTGTGTGTGTGTGTGTGTGTATAAGGGGTGTAGTGTGTGTGAGAGAGGGGTGCAGTGTGTGTGTGCTGTGTGTGAGTGGGTGCTGTGTTTGCATGAGGGTGCTATGTGCATGTGAGGAAGCTGTGTGTGAGGGTGCAGTGTATGCATGTGAGGAAGCTGTGAGTGTCAGGGGTGCAGTGTGTGTAAGTGAGGGTTTGTGATGTGCATGTCAGGGGTGCAGTGTGTGTGTGAGGGTGCTGTGAGTGTCAGGGGTGCAGTGTGTGTGCTGTGCGTGTCAGGGGTGCAATGTGTGTGTGTGAGGGTGCTGTGAGTGTTAGGGGTGCATTTTGTGTGTGCTGTGAGTGTCAGACGTGTAGTGTGTGAGTGAGGGTGCTGTGAGTGTCAGGGGTGCAGTGCGTGTCAGGGGTGCAGTGTGTGTGTGTGAGGGTGCTGTGAGTGTCAAGGGTGCAGTGTGTGTGTGCTGTGTGTGTCAGGGGTGCAGTGTGTGTGTGTGAGGGTGCTGTGAGTGTTAGAGGTGCATTTTGTTTGTGCTGTGTCAGACGTGCAGTGTGTGTGAGGGTGCTGTGAGTGTCAGGGGTGCAGTGTGTGTGAGGTGCTGAGAGTGTCAGGGGTGCAGTGTGTGTGCTGTGTGTGTCAGGGGTGCAGTGTGTGTGTGAGGGTGCTGTGAGTGTTAGGGGTGCATTTTGTTTGTGCTGTGTCAGATGTGCAGTGTGTGTGAGGGTGCTGTGAGTGTCAGGGGTGCAGTGTGTGTGCTGTGAGTGTCAGGGGTGCAGTGTGTGTGTGGGAGTGTCAGGAGGTGTGTGTGTGTGTGTGTGAGTGAGGGTGCTGGGAGTGTTATGTGCCCTGCTGTGCCCTGATTATATCCCCCTTCCCTGCTTACCTTATGCCTGGGAGGGGGGATCCTGCTACTCCTGCCGCCATCCATCCCTGGTGGTCCAAGTGGTGAGTGAACTCTAGCCTGTTGGGCTAGAGTTCACTCTCGCGATACCCGGAGCGTTGCCATGGCAACGCTCCGAATCTCACGAGAGGAACCCGGCGGAGCTGTAAGTTAAAGCTCCGCCGGGGTTCCTCTGCTGGCAGGCTGGCTCCCTCCCTCTCTCCCCCGGCGGCCGCAGTATTCTCTATGTGGGCCGGTGAGGGAGATCTCTGATCTCCCCACCGGCCCGCTGTAGACTACTGCAGGGCCGGTGTTCAGATAGCGCCGGCCCTGCAAAGACCGGCAGGAGAGATCCTGTGATCTCCCTGCCGGCCTCGGCCCCACGGCCACCGCGGCCCACCGGGCATTTGCCCGGTGTGCCCGATGGCCAGTCCGGGCCTGCTGCACTCTGTGGTGCCTTTTCTCAGGGAACACATAAGACTGAAACAGTGAATACAACACACAAAATTGGACAGGTGGTGGCAGTCCTTAGGCTTTTCAGGGATGTCAGAAAAAGAAGTTGAGTCAAGATACTGCTATCATTGGTCAAGTTATTCTCTTTTTCACCAACTTCTCAAACAAGATAGATGGTTTTATTTTTAATTGGGAAGTAGTACCTGGTGGCCAACTACTGGATAATATTGCTGCACTTGTCTGGAGACTACAGGAGCAACTGCCATGTCAGTTCAATGCATGCATGGAGGCTTGCTTCATGTTAATGCTTGCATCCATGTTTGGCCAAAGAATCAAGGGCAAGTTGGCAGTCTGCACAAATCCCTGGCTTACTTTGGCGAACCTCCTTTGCCCACTACTTAAGTTCCTTTTAACTTTTGGGATGAAAAGAGGGGTGTGTGGTCTTCTTTCTCCCTGGTAGCCCAGAAGCTCATTTCTTGTCGCCCAAAAAACTGTCCAAAGTGAACAAGTTTTTCCTGTTACACAATATATTGTGCCCTCAGTGCTTGCAGCTGACACCGCAGCACATTTTGCAAAAGGTATTCCTGAAATTTAATCAGCCTGAATTGGGTTACCCACTTTCAGCTTTGACACAGATTGAACTAAATCCACAATCTCTGTCTGATCCAGTCCCAGCATCTGCTATACTAAGATCATTGATATTACTACTCTAGGATGTGATCAGGGCTGGCGCGTCCTATAGGCCGCCTAGGGCACTTGATAAAGGGGGCGCCCGGTCAAAATGTGTGCCGCTGGTCATGGCACCAGGTGCTAGAGTGCACTTACGTAGCTGCAGACTAGCGCCCGGTGCCATCAACCTCAGCCCGCAATGAGTGTGTGTGTGTGCGCGTGCGTGTGTGCATGTGTGAGTGTGTGTATGTATGTATCAGTTATTGCATTTGTGCAAAAAGGACCATTTTAATAACTAAAATAAAAAATACTTTTAAAAGAACACTATAGTGTTAGGAATATAAACCTGTATTCCAAACACTATAGTATCTCTGTCCCTACATAACTTTAAGCCTCCCCTCTGCACTGACTGCCTCCATACCTCGCTCAATGTCACTGATGGGGCAATGCTGGCCCAATCCAATGTTCTTCATACAGGAGCATTGGGGACCTGATTCGCATTAGTTGCAAGCGCTATGCACTTCCAATGCTTCTCATAGTTAAACATGGCATTGTAGCGGAGGTGTCTCTAGTGGCTGTCAGTGTGACAGCTACTAGAGGCTTGTTTAACCCTTCAAGGTACAATATTCAGTAGTTAATAAACATTGCCAAACGTTGCCAATCCAAAAATGTATGTGAATTTGTAGCCACAATCATATCAAGATATCATACATGTGCAACGTTTTTTTTTTAGTTTTTTTTTTAGCTTGGTTCTTCTACCAAGTCCAGAATGCATTAGGGATGTCCACAGGAAAAAAAATAGAGAGTAAGCGCTAACTAGTATATGGGCAGCAACCCTTTAAGAGAGTCCTTCAAGAACCCTTAGAAATAACACAGAGAGAGAGAATAAAGAGTAAGGGCTGCGCCAACGAAAACAAAATACAAAAGGTAAAACAAATAGTCCAAATAAATTGATATAATAAAACAGAAAGTCTTATCTAAAAAGTGCTCTTGGAGGTCATGGAATCTATCCGTACTTGATCCAGAATAATTGTCCTTTAATATTCCTCCATGGGGGTCCGCTCGTATATAAAAAATAAAAGAGTGGAGAGCCAAATAGTGTAAAACGCTTCAAACGATAAAAGTGATTAAAAGGTTGAAATAAAACTCACATTTAAAAGAGCTATGACTCGCTCTAGTGTAGAAGGCGTACAGCGGTTTAATCCCCGCTTATGGGATATAGGATGGACATCCTCCGTCTGTGGTATATCCAACACTTTGGTAAAAAGAGACAGCCAATAGTGTACACTGAGTAAAATATTGGTAATAAAATAAATAAAACAGAATGGATACTCACAAGACAGGAGCAGGACAACTGCTCCTTGACGTTAGCGCTGGTGGTATAATCCCCACCTAGGATTTCTTGGAGTCCAGGATGGTGGAAGGATGCCAGGTAGTGGATAATTTAGAGTGTATAAAAGATAAATGGCACAGATAAAAAGTAACCAAATATACTTTAATAATTATAAATTACACAATTAAAAGTCCATAAACGCGTTTCGCCAACACAGCGTTATCAATGTGGGGTAGAAACCTGATACCTGGCATGACATGGTTTATATAAAAGCTTCAGTCCTTTAAAATTGGCGCCAAAAAATCAGAAGCCAATCATCAGTGAGCTAGAGCATAGAATTAGTAAAACAATATAAAAAACAAAAAAAAATGTATTTTATAATTATTAAAGTATATTTTAATATAATTGCCATACGTTCGTTATGTTTTGCTATATTCCCGTCTAATTGCCAGGTATCCAAGCCACAGAGTGTCCTGGATCACTGTGCCACTGATCAGGTATCATTGTCTTTTGTCATTTTCTATCTTCTATTTCTCTTTTTCTTTATCCTTATTACTCTCCTAGTTTATTATGCTATTTGTCTGTCTCATAATCAGCCTCCAATGTGTTTTTCACTCAGTGGTGAAAAAGGTGTTTTTTTTTTTTGTTTCGTTTTTTAGATTCTTTTTGTTCACAGTAAGAGGTGTGTTCCATACCTTCATACCTGCCAGAAATACAATACATAATGGATACAGATGGATGGACAGACTAACAGATCAATTGGTTGTTAAATCTGTACAAATCAACACAGATGTAACTGTGTTATATTTGTTTATATGGTCATAGACCATATAAGCACAACAATGAGTAGATCCTCCCCTTCCCCTTATTTGGACTATTTGTTATACCTTTTGTATTTTGTTTTCGTTGGTGCAGCCCTTACTCTTTATTCTCTCTCTCTCTCTGTATTAATTATTGAACGTCAAAACAAATTTTGGCCGAAAGCTTTCTCAAGCAAGCTTTCGCAAGCATCGACAAAATGATAACGGCCCATTATTCCCTACAGGAAATGAATAAAGGTGGCAAAGTTACAAGCCCATAAGGGGGTACACCCAGGGCCAGTGCAAGGATATGTGATGTTCTAGGAAGCCTCTAACGCTCCACTAATGGTGTGAAATCACATGAACCACACCCTATTGATCTATATTTCTATCTCTTCTCTCTCCTTAACTTGCTATCTATTAATTTTATTGTATTTTCAATTCCCAATTCTCCCATCATAGGACAGATTTACAACTCTCTGGAATTGTTTTTTGTTCTTCTTTAATCTCTGTATTACAGTTATCTTAGCTTGCTTGTTTCATGGTGGTCAAAAATGCTTTACTCCCGGAAGCTTATCCCTACAAATTTTTGTAAGTCCATTACATTGTATTCAAAGATACTATAATACTTCACTATTTTGCACCTCCTATAACACTTTCTGTGCAAACATGGTTTTGGTGAGGAACTCATCCAGGAAGCTGTACTGTTCACCTTCTATATGTGGTTCTGGGTGTGGCACTAATTGGGTGTTTCACCATTTGACAAACAGGGAAAGATATTTTGTCTCCCAATATGTTTTTTTTGTGTGAAAATTTGTTTTTATTTATTTGTAGGTTCATCGTAAGTTAAACAGTAAGACTCGCAGGTCTAATCATTTATATAAAATTTGCATAACATAAACAGGGAACACTCGGGATCCATGAGAGAAATATAAGTTTTGAAGACCCATTGGCTTGCCGGCTCATGTTATAATGGGACTCGCAGGTCTGAGTCGACTTTCTGGGGAGTAGATCTAGTTAACCTCTCCCTACTTTAGGGTAAATATATGCTCACTTCTGCTATAACATTGAATTTATCACCTTAGTTTTTGTGAAACTCCAGATTTCAATCTTAAGTGGAAGCTTACACATATTATGTAGCTTATATTAATTGCTCGGGGTCTAGTTTCCCCCCATGACTTTTACCTATGGCAGAGCCCGAGTTATGCTTAGGTTTCTCTGCACCTCCTCTGTGGTGCCTGAATCCTTGTCCTTAGCTATTACGTGTTAGGTGTCGATGTTCTGTTGAAAATGGGCGTCTCTGTTGTGCGCGGGTGTGATGGGGTGTGTGTCTATCTAATTGCCATACGTTCATTATATTTTGCTATATTCCCGTCTAATTGCCAGGTATCCAAGCCACAGAGTGTCCTGGATCACTGTGCCACTGATCAGGTATCATTGTCTTTTGTCATTTTCCATCTTCTATTTCTCGTTTTGTTTATCCTTATTACTCTCCTAGTTTATTATGCTATTTGTCTGTCTCATAATCGGCCCCCAATGTGTTTTTCACTCAGTGGTGATAAGGTTTTTTTGGGGGGTTAGATTATTTTTGTTCACAGTAAGAGGTGTGTTCCATACCTTCATACCTGCCAGAAATACAATACATAATGGATACAGATGGATGGACAGACTAACAGATCAATCGGTTGTTAAATCTGTACAAATCAACACAGATGTAACTGTGTTATATTTGTTTATATGTGTGTGCAGATATACACACACACACACACACATATTTGAAAATGTATTTCTATTTACCATCATTTTCTTTTCCTGGTCATAGACCATATAAGCACAACAATGAGTAGATCCTCCCCTACCCCTTAAGACAGGAAACTAGGAACCCAATTAATATAAAGGTATCAGTGTCCCCTCCTATCCCCCTGACCCTCAGTATTAGTAACCAGCAATATCCTAATCGTGGGATCCTTGTGCTGCCATGGCCTATGACCAGAAAAAAGAAAATTATGGCAAGTTGGAATACATTTTTTTTTCCTGGCCATATCCATGGCAGCACAACAATGGGTAATACCAAAGCAATAACCAAGAAAGGGAGTGACAAAAAACAAAACCCAAGGTAAATGCCAAAAATAAATATATTGTAAGAAAATAAAATACCAAACCACAGTGCAAATAGTAATTAAACCTTATGTTCACACACGGATAAAAAAAGTTTTATCAAATGTATCGTAGCGGGGCCTAGTGTGTATAGGGGATGTAGCAAATGTGTGCATACGGGCTGTAGCGTATGTGTATGTGTAGGTGACGCAGTGTGTGTAGGGTTTGTAGAGAGTGTGTATTTAAAGAATGTAATATGTGTTTGCTTACAAGGAACGTAGTGTGTGCATAGGGGATCCAGAGTTTGTATGTCAGGAATGTAGTGTGTGTAGGTGGTGCAGTGTGTGTGTAGGGGATCTAGTGTGTAAAGGACCCAGAGTGTGTATGAGTGTGTGTGTGTGTGAGTAGATTAGATGATCCAGAGTTGGGTAAGGGATCTAGCATGTATCTGGAGCGTAATGTGTATAGTGGTCCAGTGTGAAGGTTGCTCTAGTATATATATATATATATATATATATATATATATTCGATAGTCCTTGAACACTAACTTAAACTATTATGTCACCGGGTGCATTCTTGAAGCCATTACCAAGAAATATAATATAGATAGTAAGAGGCTTGCACTCACGTTTTTTTTTAAGTAGGAAAAAGCTCCTTTTGTATATTGTATATTCATTAAAAACTGATCGACGTTTCAGCCCCCATACGTGGCTTTCCTCAGGATCAATACATCACAATATGTTTGGGACTGTGTGTGTGGGAGAGGGGGTAGATTTAAATATATTAAATATGTATTTAATAAAAAAATAACAACTTTATATCCCCCCTCCCTTCTTACCTTTAGCCTCTGAGGGGGGACCGTGCAGCCATCCCTGGTGGTCCTAGTGGTGAGTGAACTCTAGCCTGCGAGGCTATAATTCACTCTTGTGAGATCTGAGCGATGCCATGGTAACCGCGGCAACGCTCCAACCTCGCGAGAGGAACCCGGCGGAGCTGCAGGTAAGAGCTCTACAGGATCCTTTATCCCTCCCCTGCTGATGGCCGCATTTCACAGCCCCTGTGGGCCGGTGAGGGAGACAGTGCCGGCCCTGCATGGGCCGAGAGGGGATCCTGTGATCTTCCCTGCCGGTCTCGGCCCATGGCCATCGGTCCACAGGCATTTGCCAGGAATGCCGATGGCCAGTCTGGGTCTGATTGATGACCATAGGCAACAAAAATATTCTTTGTTGCCTGCCAATATATAGCGATTGTCTGTCTAGAGACAGTCTAGCAGGCTGTACACAAGCCAAAGGGTCTGAACTGAAGGTGGTACTTTTGGAGCTGAACAGCAACAGAAACATGGAAATAGGCATCCTGTGGATCAATAGACATTATTCACTGCCCTGGGAACATCACCTTTAGGATACATTGTATGGGTTCCATTTTGAATTTTCGAATCATATTTAGTCTGTGAAGGTCTAGGATTGACTTTCAGGGCCGGTGCAAGGATTTTTGGGTACACAGGCGAAGATGAAAAAAGCATCTTCACCTGTGTGCCTTTTGTTTTTTAACCCCTTTTTTTAAATGTCTTACCGCCTTTAGTGTATCTTATCCCATATCTTTCCCCATTGTCTTATACCTCCCTTGTGTATCACTTAGAACCCCTCTTTGTGTGTCTTACTCCCCCCAGCCCCTTTATGTGTCTCCTTCTCTCCCGACCCCTTTGTGTCTTTTACTCTTCCCAGCTCCTTTGAGTATTTCTCTTTTACCCCTAGCCCCATCTATCTCCTCCCAGCCCCTCTGTGTCTCTTTTTCCTCTTCTCCAGCCCCTCTGTGTCTCTTTCACCCCAGCCCCTTTGTATTTCAACCCCCAGGCCCTTCTGTGTTTCTCTTTCATCCCCAGCCCCTCTGTGCATCTTTGTTAGCCCCAGGCCCATCTGTGTGTCTTTCTCCCCACTCATGTCCCTCTGTGTGTCTTTCTCCTCACTCAGGCCACTCTCCCCTCCAGGTCCCTTAGTGTTCCTCTCCCCTCCATGTCCCTTAGTGGTCCTCTCCCATTCATGTTCCTTAGTGGTCCTCTTCCTTAGTGGTCCTCTCCCCTCCCCTTCCTGTCCATTAGTGGTCCTTTCCACTCCATGTCCCTTAGTGTTCCTCTCCAGTGGCGTACATACCGGGATCGCAGGGGTCGCGGCTGCGACCGGACCCGGCTCACCAGGGGGCTTGGCCGCCCTGCGACTCGGTATGTACCCACTGTGGCCAGCCTCTTCTCCTGGGGGGCCCAGGAGCCGGTCACCTCAGGGCCCCCCGAGGATGGCCCTGGTGTCACTCGGCAGGCTGGCTGGCGGGCGCGAGATGCTCCCTCACGCCAGCCAGCCCGCCGAGTGACACCACTGGACCCCCGGGAATCCCCTCAGCACTTCCACAGGTAAGGAGGTTGGGGGGATTAAATTTTTTTTTAAAACGTGTGTGTGTGTTAGTTAGTGTTAGAGTGTGTGTGTTAGTGTGTGTGTTTGTTAGTGTTAGAGTTTGTCTGTGAGTGTGTTACTGTGTGTGTTAGTTTGTGTGCGTCTGTTAGTGAGTGTGTGTTTTGTAAGTGAGTGAGTGTGTGTCAGTAAAGGTGTGTGTCTGTTAGCTAGTGTGTATGTGTCTGTTCATGAGTGTGTGTCTTAAGCACTTACCTTTCTCCAGCGCCGGACTCCCTTGGCGCTGGGGATCTCTCCGCCCAGATCCGCCTCTCAGCTCCGAATGCGCATGCGTGGCAAGAGCCGCGTGTGCATTCAAACTGCCCATAGAAAAACATTACTCAATGCTTTCCTATGGACGTTCAGCGTCTTCTCACTGTGATTTTCACAGGGAGAATCGCAGAAGCTCCTCTATTGGCTGTCAATGAGACAGTCACTAGAGGTTGGATTAACCCCTGCTATGTTTTCAGCTGCAGGGTTAAAACTAGAGGGACCTGGCACCCAGACCACTTCATTGAGCTGATGTGATCTGGGTGTATGTAGTGGTCCTAAGTGTATGTGTATCTGCATGCACTGGCCTACATACCGCGGTTGCAGGGGTCGCATCCCTGCGACCAGGTGCTCGCCGCCAGGTGTTGCGGCCCCAGCCCGCGCAGAGTAAGCACGCGGGGGGGGGGGCCCACGGATCAGTTTTCGCACCGGGGCACCATGGGTTGTGTGTACGCCACTGTTCCTCTCCCCTGTCCCTTAGAGTTCCTCTCGCCTCTCTCCCCTGTCTCTTATTTCTCCCATTCCTTAGTGCTCCTCTCCCTCCCCTGCCTGTCTCTTCCTCACCCCCCTTAGTGTTCCTCTCAACCCCCTCTCTCTTAGTGTTCCTCTCTTCCCCACCCCCCCACCCGCTTAGTGGTCCTCTCCCCTCCCTGATGTGCCTCTCTTGTAGTGTGGCTGAGTGGGACGGACCACAGTACAGAAGCTCAGTGAGCACTTCCTGTCAGTGCGGCCAGGTAGAGGAAACAGAAGTTCCTGTACCGCAGTGCGCTCCGCTCGGCCGTGCTACACTGAGTGACTGGTAGGAGAGAGCGCTGTGTGCTTCCCTCCTGCGGGGCCGCTCTAATCTAGTGCCCCCTGGGCCGGTGTCCCCTAAGGCTGCCTGATGGATGCGCCGGCCCTGCATGCTTTTTCGATGAAGAACAGGTAAGAGTAAAATTCTTTTGTTTCTTGGGACCTGTGTGATGATGCATGTAATTGAAGAGATAAAAGGAAAAACTGCAAAGCATCTCTTTTTTCTTTGTCCATGGGCCATTTTGTCATCTGAAAGCTTGAGAAGAGCAATTGAACTCCAGACAATATCCCCTGCAAACAATGTCCAGAACCCATTTGTCTTGAATGGAATAGGAATAGGAGTAAACATGCTCCTTGCCCTGCTTGGCTGGGAGAGGAGGCCATCAGAAAGCTCTAGGATTCTTGTTGGAAGAGCTTCCTCTCGATTTTCCTTTTCTGGATGAAGATTGGCCATCTCTCCAGGGTTGAAGTCTGGTATATTCTCTGCCAGCACAATATGATTTATTATCACTAAAGGAAGAATAATCTGATGATCTTCTGTCTCTGAAACATCTTTTTGGTCTGCAGTTTTGGGACAGGAAAGTTCTCCTTCCATCTGCAGCTCTCTTTATAATTTCATCCAGGTGTTTCCAAATAACATCTTGCCCTGGAAATGTAGAGAACATAGGCTGTTCTGTGATTAAGCATTGGCAGTCCAGGATCTCAACCATAGTGCCCTCCTAATCAAAACTGTTAGATCCATATTCCATGCTAGTGCCTTAATCATGTCAACAGCTGCCTTGGAAATAAAGTCTGCAGGCAATTTTATGTCTCGAAGGCTCTTAAAAATATGTGCTCTACTTCTTTTCTTTTTAATATCTTCTTCAATAGAGTCAATCTATAGTCTCAAGGCTCTGAATAAAAATGCTAAGGCAACTGTTGGATGAAACCTGT